GAGCAGAGCCAATTTACACTATAGCTTCCAAACTAAAAGCAATGTGTTTACTGAAACATCCTAAAATTTTGTCTACATTTAACCCAAAAGAACATTAAGTTCCAATGAGCTCCTCGCCACCTAATTTCACACAATATTAGAGCTAGAAGAGATCCTAGTGAATATTCTGCCCAACACCCTCATCTTACACTGAGAAAACTGAAGCTCAGTAAGGTTAAATGATTAGGCAAAGTACATGGTCAATAAATGACAGGAGTGAAGTCAAAGCTAATATTGAACAATAACCTTTGAAGGAATCCATTTTAATTACTTTTCTATATTACTAAATGAATTGACACAATACACAATTTTGATTTGTAGATCAGACTACAGTTAGGAAACAAAAGAACCCTTTTAATGTTTTCATCTTTCGAGCATATCACTGATTAACTGCAAATTTACAAGCTATCTCTTCTCTCTATGACAGCAGAGTTGAGACTCCCTTACCTTTTGTCCCAGTGAAATAGTAACCCCAATAGATAAAAGAACATGAAAAGACAGAAGGAGACCAAGCACTTCAAATTAAGGTCTAGGATGCTTCCTCCTACACACTCTTACATAAAATATTTCCTTTACTATCTCTTGCTCAGAGGTCCCCTTATGCTGTTAAGAACACAGACTTTCTTGTTTTATTTCTACTCCAAACTCAATCACCCCAAATCACTGCAATATAAAACTAATAACTCAAAACCCCTTGGGAGTTTCTAATTATTAATTTGTATGTATTATCATTTGATAAATGTCTGGTGATCCCACCAGATGGTAACCTATTTGAAGGCAGGGGATGCATGTTCTTAGTATTATATATTCAGCTTCAAATATATGTGTGGAAAATACATTCTTGGTAAATACTGTTGAATATGTGTGTGTGTGTGTTTGTGTGTGTGTGTGTGTCCCTACTCTCTAACTGGTACCCAGACCAGCAGTATCAGGATTACCCAGAGACAGATTAACAATACAAATTCTGAAACCCTACTGTCGACCTACTGAATCTGAAACTCTACATCTTAAGCCTAGATGATTTTAATATTCCCCCAGTTGATTCTGATATATGCTAACACAGGTATCACTATAGTCAATATTTATCAAATCACGTGTTTCTGTTCACAGGCCAGCTGTTTGTCCCCAGAGTTAGGATGATTGAGTCTCTGAAAGCAGTGTGGTCACTAACTATGGATGGTAATGCACACCTATCAGGTGTTGTCTCTGAAAGCACAGTGTGGTCACTAACTATGGATGGTTATGCACAACTATCAGGTGTTCAAAGATGCAAATTGTTATCTGGATATCAGAAAACAATATTATTGACCCAGCTTTATGTGCCATATTCCTATCCAATTACATTATTCCGTAAAATCTAAATCTCTTCTTTTTTACTGAGACTACTAGCAGGGAGGGGTGTGAAAAAGTGAGGAGGCTCAATGAACTATGGTAGAAGATTATTGGTGCTCTGATGATGGGTGTGGTGTAATAACACATGTTTGAGGAAGGAACAAACCTATATGCCTAAATCTATATAATGTCAAAAATCGACATTACCTCAGTATATATAATAAAAATATTAAAATAGGGCCTCCCCTGGTGGCACAGCGGTTAAGCGCTGGGCTGCAAGGATGCCCGCAGCCTCTGCAGCGCTGGTTTGTTCCCCGGCCGCTGGCGAGGGTCCCACAAAAAAAATTAAAATAAATAAATCCATTATATTTTATTTTGAGACTATTGAGTTGGTACATCTTTGCAACAAAGAGAGGAATGCCCAGGAACAAATGATAACTTAGACTCCATGGCTGGTACTCAAATCCCTGGATTCCCTCTTAGGAAAGCAGGATTTTACCCTCTTAGGAATGCAGGATTTAAGTATAACCAAAGAACAGAGCTAGAATTTATCTACTCAAGAGTCCTACCTAGACAGTTTAGAAAGAAAGGTCTGATACTTCTAAAGTGCTTGGGACATATTGGTAAATAAGTCACTCACACCCAAGCTGGAACCTAACTTCTCTTCGAGTGAATGAATCAAGTTCAGTGGAAAGATATTGTCCTTGGCTTTGATCCCTTTGGAAGTTCCAGAAACACTAACCAAGACATGTGTTAGAGAGGAATCCTCTTTCTTCTTCAATTGGATAATTATAAATTCCCTCTGTACCTGAATATTTTCCATTTATAGTGTGCTTTCTTTCAGTTTTCTTCAGCAACTTATAATGAAATTCAGTGAGTTGTTAAAACATTTGTTATATGTTTCTGTGTTTTATTTCCCTAAACTATTGAAATTTTCAAAATAATATGGCTAGAGATAGAAAGGTTAACATCATTACAAGATGCTTTAATAATAAGTACATATATGAGAATTAAGTTAAAACTTTTGAAAGAAAATCCACCATGAGCATTGCAGTGATGTACAGTTTTCTCAAATGAATTTACTGGGGAGAATACCGGCTAAGGAAATAGAAACGATTTCTTATCTGGTTTGTAGTAATTTCTATATGTGCCCTTTGTTCTCCTTCCTTTACTGTACTGGTAGAAATAATCAGAAAGAGAAAATAAGTCATGTTTATTTTGGTTCTGTTTTATCCCTTTTGGAACCATATTTATCTTATACAGAATTGTAGTCTCTAGAAAAGAATAACATTAGTTTAGCTTAATTTAATTTGTTTAGTTAATGATAATTTCTAAAATTCCACTTGAATATTCCTAAAATCATTCACACACACAGTCACATTAAATTCCTTGGTGTCTTAAAGTTTATTTTTTCTATGGCCCTAGAAATTTCATTTCATGCTTCAGATGAGGTGATCACTTCATAAATTCATACATAATTTTTGATATGTAAGAGTAAATAAATAAATATGGGCAACAATATCATTACCTAAGAAAACAAACACCTGGTGAACTGCCCTCAAACTATGTTAGGAAAAATGTGTTCTCTTTGCATTGCTGCAAAGTTTTGGTTCAGACTTTTGTGCTTGAACTTCAATAAAAGAAAATCTGCTGATGTGGGTTTTCGAGTGCATTATTTGTTCATTGTGTTTGCCATGGAGACTTTTATTTAGCTGTCTGAGTTGGGGCTATACTCAGTCATTCTCATCAATGCGACAGTATTTCTGACATTTCATCATTAATCTAGTATCACATCAGTCAGCGCTATTGTATATATTGAATTTCATGGTTTCAAATAATAGAGGACTAAAATAATGTGCTATATGAGGAACCAAAAAATGAGACTGACCAGAAAGAGATAATTAAATTTTAAGACTAGATGAAACATATTTTTATGTCATTAATTTCTGCACATTGCTCCTTTCATGAACAGTGCCCCTTCAGGTAATACATTCTAGGAATATTACAATCCAATAATACATTTGAAAGCTGTGCTCAGTAACTGCTAATTTGGAATGGTTGGGATAAGGTCAATTATTCTAGAATATAGCAGATCTGAAAGTGAAAAAACAAAGAGTAATGCCTCTACTGGCAAAAGCATCTAGAAAGACTATCAGGAAGGAAAATGTGTACAGTATATATGCAAAGGTGATACAGGAACATTCACATGAATAAATGTCCATGAAGACCATTCTAATTGGTTTATTGGGACAAACAAGTCAAGTCTCCTTGCTGATTTACTTTCTGAACTCTATATAAGACACACATACACACACACACACACACACACACATACAAGAATGATTTGGCCTCCAAATTATATTATCAAAAACATGAAAACCTAAAAGACAATTGTAAAATTTATAAAAGAATATGAAATTATTCTGCAATATAATATGGGTATAAAGATGCTACTGACAAAAGATGAATAATGGATGTTCACTGAGGAAAGAACCACAGAAATTAATCTACCTCAAATTCCTTTATTTGGGGATTTCCAGGTAAAGTATACTTAAATTAAAAACAGAACTTTAAACACAGGAAACATTTGATGACTCTAATTCTATTATAATAAAATTTGTGAAACTAAATCTGTAAACACTGTTCTGGTGTATTCATTCCCATTCCCAATCTCAAAAACTGAATGACACTCATTATCTGTATTTTGATATTAAGTAAAATACATTTAGCTCTTCTGTAAGATGAGATAAATTATTCATTGTCCAAAGGAAAATGCAATTAAGATAGTAATTTGTGCTGGGAAATAAATGGCACTGAATGAATGAATGACAAATTGATCAATAAATGATAAGGTAATGTGAGAAAAGAGATGGAAGGTATTTTTCTTTTAAATATGTTTTAAATTCAAATATAGAATGTTACCGGCTCTTAAGCTATTTTATTTAATAGTAATGAAATCAAACAGCTGCTGGTGGTGAGATATTTTGCAAATTTGACAATGGGAACATTTTCAATTGATATTACATTTGCTTTTAATCTTTGAAAGCCCAAAGAAACAGATTTTTCTTAATGAAAAATCAGACTCATCAGGAATCTATTAAAATTAGGTCATAGAAATACTGATAAAATATTCAAAAATTTTATGATAAAAATATAAAAACACCTGCCATTTTAATAAAGTTTATTTTTTTCTTGGTAAGAGGACAATTAATCTTTTAAAACTATTTCGTTAAAGTTGACTTTTATCTCTGATCAAAGTGTAGCTTATACCACTTTAAACAAACAACTACTTAGCACTTACCATTTTGCAAAAGAGTATCTTAGAAATTAACCCAATAAATGATAACTATTTGGAAACAAGAATAATACCATGTATACAAAAATATGCTGCAAGAATAGCACACACATGTAAGGCAGCTGCTCAGTCCATCAAGAATGACTGAGTACCTACTGTGTGCCCATTCCAGAGTCAGCTCATAAGTTCTGTGCTACTAGTGTCTATGATGGTTCATCAATCATGGTATTTGCATTACAGTGTTAACATTTTTCTACTACTACCCAAATGAATACTGGCCTCTTTACATGATTTATTTAAGTAAGTAAAAGAGTGTGGCCAATTCAAGGATTACCTCACATTTATTTAGCAGCCCAGTTTCTTGCAGCCGTGACCAGATGCTCTGTATTCGTCCAGCGTGCTCAGGGTGGGTGGCAGAATTGCCACAAATGCACTGGTGTTTCAGCATCAGAGGATCATAGGCAATTCCTTCGGGAAAAAGAAAACAGCACAAATTGAACAATACACAAGGTAGTAATACAAGTTTGAAGATAGCATGATTACTCTGAAAAGTTACTATTTTTTAATTTACACACAGATAATATATATCATAAATTCCCTGGAGCACATTAGACTTATTTAGTCCTGGGCATCAGGATATGAATGCAAAAAAAAAAAAAAAAAAAAAAAAAAAAACCACAAAAGTCAATCCTTGGACTAATCAGTGCTCAAAAACCCTATAAAATTGGGAAGGTGTTAAAGATGATGACATTTTACGAAACCAGATTTTAAAAAAGTACTGTAATTTTACCAGTATCTTAAATCAGTATGAAGTATTATTAAATAGATAATTCACTTCAGTAAACATTAATTTTTAACAGTGAAACCACAAAACAACTGATGCTTTAAATTATGAGTTTACTTCATGAGTAACTCTAATCTCATTCTACATTACAGTTACATCCTTTCAATAATCTAGATTTTCCAAATGCTTGCCTATTCTGTTTAGCCATTGCTTTAAAATTGTGCAGAAAGAATTCATTTGTTCTTTTCTCATAATTTACACCATTATATAAGCTTGTAGAACTTAGAACTATTGTGAACATTTGAAGTGTTGTTTTTTTTTTAAGATTTATTTATTTTTATACAAGAACCGGGATACAGGTCAGATGCGCAGGAGGGTGACAGGATTCACCAGAGACAGAGCAGGGAACAGAACAGGCAGACTGACAAAATACACTGCTGAGGGGAGTAGCGGGTGCGACAGGAGAGGTCTGCTGCACCATGTAGGAATCTCGCCAGCCGGCGGGGATCAAACCGGTGCTGCAGAGGCTGCAGACAGCTTCACAGCACGGCGCTCAACTGCCTGTGCCACCAGAGAGGCCCTTGAAGTGTTTCTTTCCAAAAAAATTATGTCAGTTGTAATAGCTTTGATAGACATCACATGTATACTTTCTAAAAATCTGCTTTTACTTTTTTTTTGGAGACAATATTTGTTTTTAACATTGTTTATGATCTAGAGCTACAGGATCATCCCCTTCAGTTGCTATTACACCAAACTCACCATGAAAACACCCATAGTCCATTGCACTCAATCACTTCTTTGTTCTCACCATCTGATATCCTCAGTTCCACAATTAGATTTCCAGTATTGGTTTGGTTTTATCTAAACCTTTTCTGTTTTGTTTTCTTTCTCTATGTTCCACATTAATTGAAACTATCTATTATTTGTCTTTCTCTTCTGATTTATTTCACTTTGCATCATCCTTCCCTGATCCAACCATGCTGTTATAAATGGCAAGCATTTCTCTCTTTTTAGAGCTGAGTAGTATTCCAATGTGTATATATACCACATCTCTCTATTCCACTCATCTCTTTTGGGGCACTTAGGTTGTTGCATAGTTTGGATATTGTAAATAGTGGTACAATGAACAAAGCAGTACATATATCCCTTCAAATTACTGCTTTTGTGTTCTTTGGGTAGATAGTTAGGAATGGAATTGCTGGGTCATATGATAGAACCATTTTTAATATTTTGAAAAACTTTTATACTGTATTACATAAGGGATGGACCAGTCTACATTCCCACTAAAAGTGTATGAAGATTCCCTTTTCTCCACATCCTCACCAATACTTGATTTTTCTGGGCTTTTTCATAAGAGCCATTCTCAAAGTGAACTCAGAGACTGATATGGCTGTATCTCATTGTGATTTGCATTTCCCTGACTGTAAGTGATGATTAACATTTTTTTCATGTGCCTATTGGCAATTTATATGTCTTCTTTAGAGAATTTTCTATTTAATTCTGCTGTCCATTTTTTGATTTGGTTGTCTTCTTTTTGTTGAGTAATATGAATTCTTTGTAGATTGTGGATATCAACCATTTATTTGGTATATGGTATGTGAATATTTTATCCCATTCAGTAGGGTGTCATTTTGTTTTAGTTATTTTTTTTGTTGTTTTTATTGTTTTGTTTTTTTTTGCTGAGGAGAAGCTTTTTAGTTTGATATATGTAGTCCCATTTGTTCTTATCTCTTGTTTTCCTTGATGTTGGAGATGAACCCACAAAGACATCACCGAAGCCTATGGATTGTAATGTTTTGCTTATGTTTTCTCCTATTTCATGGTTTTATATTTAAGACTTTTCTCCATTTTGATTTAGTTTTCGTGGATAGTATGCTTCAGTGGTCTAGTGTGTGCTCCCAGAATAAATCCCAGTTGTTCATGGTATATGAAACTTTTAATGAATTGTTGAATTGGGTTTACTATAGTTTTGTTAAGGACTTTTACATCTATGTTCACCAGGGACAAGGGTCTGTACTTATCTTTTGTTGTTGCATCTTTGCTTATATTTTGTGTCAGAGTAATGTTGGCCTCACTGAATTTATTTGGAATTATTATTTTTTCTCAATTTTTTGAAAGCATTTGAGAAGAATGGTTACTAGCCTATCTTTGAAGGATTAGTAGACTCACTAGTGAAATTATCTGGTCCAGGACTTTTTTTGGGGGGCAGATTTTTGATTTGTTTTAATTTCCTTGCTTGCAATTGGCTTCTTCGGGTTTTCTATTTCTTCCTGATTCAGTCTCTTATGTGACTCCGAATTTCTGATATGACTGTTGTAATCTCATCTCTTTCAATCCTTATAATATTTATTTGTTCCCCTCCCCCATTTTTGTCTAGTGAATTTTCTTTAAAAAAAAATCTCCTTTTAAATTACAAGTTAACAAATTTCATGTATCATTTAGATCCTATGACTGAAAAGATTTTACAAAAGTCTGATGAAATAAATTGTTAGTTGCATAAAATGACTTTTTGAATAAACAAATTAAGTAATTGTATTATTTAATTTTAAAAAAGATTTCCACATTTAATCCATTTTCTAGAGGTAGTCATGCTACTTACAAAATTGCCTGATATAAATAATTATTTAACCAATCTAATATCTTCCAATAAACAATCATTGTAATACATTTGATAACAGTATGCATTGAGGGCAGTAGAATCCATGAAAATAAATTAAAGAGAAAAAATAAGTATCTATTCAAGAGCAGATAAATATCAGCAAATTGTGGTAAGTTTAACTAGATGCATGTTATTCACCCTTTGACTTACATTGTTCTGTTAGTGAATGTGATTAAAAAAAGGAAAATTAGTTTTTCTCTAAGTATACTAAAATCATGCAGAAAAATGCTATATACACTTTGAAGACATGGCAAAAAATTATGTCTAAGGGGAAATATTTGCTGGTTCAAATAATATCCACCCTCAGTGCTAATTTTTCTTCTGATATGCAAACTTGCACACTTTATTCAACTGCTTATTCAAAATCTCTATTTGGCTGTCTTACGGCTTTCATAAACTTTGAATGTCTCAGATTTTAGTTCAAGATGTTAAACTACACATGGTGTTCCTCATTTCTGTAAAGGGTATCATGATCTAGCATTGTTCAAGAAAAAAAGCATTAATGTTCTCCTGACACTCCCTCCCAACAGAACAAGTAGTGTCTTTTTCCCCTCCAATATACATCCTCAATCATGTATTTCTTATCCCCAAAGACAAAACCATGCACAATCAAAAGCATTCTCTAATATGGAGTTCTGAGATAGTCTTATAACTGGCCACCTGACTTTCACTATATTCCATTTACAACACAAGAGTGCCTACTTTTGCTTACATCCTGTGATTTCACGGATAAGATTAAAATTTCTCTAGGCTAGTATAGACAGGACCATCCCCACCCTTCTATTCTTTCCCTTGATCCTTATTTCTCCATAAAGCCCTACCTTCCATCCTTCAAATGGATCAAAATCACACCAGCCTTGGAATCTTTATTCATACTGTTCCATCTATGCAAAGAATTCCTCCTTCCTGCCTCCCTCTAGCTCTCATTTAGCTAATTCCTATTCATTCCTCAAGGCTCATTTTTTTCTTTCTTTTTTTTTTTAATAGAAATGCCTTCTTTCTTTCTTTTTTTAAAAAGATTTATTTATTTATTTGTTTGTTTGTTTGTTTGTTTATTTATTTATTTATACAAGCACTGGGTACAGTCAGAAGTGCGGGAGGGTGAGAGAATTCACCAGAGCCACAGTGGGGAACAGAACAGGCAGAGTGATAAAGTACACTGCTGAGGGGAGCAGCAGATGCGGCAGGAGAGGTCTGTCGTGCCATTTGGGACCCTTGCAGGCAGCCAGGGATTGAACCAGCACTACAGAGGCTGCGGGCAGCTTCACAGCCCAGCACTCAACCGCTGCTGCGCCACCAGGGGAGGCCCAAGGCTCATTTTTTTCATGTCGCTTACACAAAAAAAATCCCGAAAGCTCTAGTATAGGTCTTTTACTATATTCTTTCATAAATTCTTCCAAATTTTCTTCAGAGCATTTATCACAATTACATAATTTTATTAATTTTATTAATTACATATTTTCTTCAACCATATGATATCATTATAGAGTACAGACTAGAGTTGTATTGTTCACATTTAAAATTCCAATGTCTCCCAATAAGGATCATTTTTAATAATATCCAAATCATCTTTTGTTACACCTTCCATCCACAATTTTAATCTAGCCAAAGGATATATTGTATCTTACTTTTTTATTTCTACTATACTATTCATATTATAATACCTATAAGATTTGTCATAATATATTTTAGCAAATATGTAAATTTAAATGTCTGTAAACATGCTTAGAATATAGTACTTTGTCAAAAGTATTTCTGATAAATGAATAAAAATATAAATTAACAGATACAGAACTAGCTGAGATATTGACATTATAAAGCCTTTCTTGATTAACCTAATTGGTAAATCTCCTTGGACACCTGAAGTTTTTCTAGCCTTACTTCTTTGGTATTCTATCTTTTATTTTATGTGCCTTAACTTCCACTTGCTAGTGCCTCTCATACAGGAATTTTATTTTACTTAGCGATGTATGCCTGTATTTTGCTTAAACAGGAGGAAAATATTTTAAATAAAACCAAAAGGAA